GAATTCCTGGGCTCAAGCTCAGCCTCCCAAGTAGCTGGAACAACTAGGTTGGGAAAGGTTAAGCTTTCTTGAGAAGGTTTTCTGTCTGCCCACCTATCCATTTTAAAGCTGGTGATTCAGTTTAGAGTTCAAAGCTGTTTCCCTGTGTATGTGCATTATCTATGGGCAAGGGGAACTCAACTTCATTTACACTGTTTTCATGGGAAGATTTGCAGATACAAGAGACTCAAAAAGATGACCATAAAGTGAAATTCATTCAATATTCATTACTCAAGTATTTAAAAAATAGAATACACTCAATTCTTTGGGTAATGCAGGAGAGCTATGTTGTTAAACAAAAAATGAAATCTGAAGAAAACTCGTCCAGGTTTGAATCTCGCTTTTCTACTTGCTAGGCTGTGTGAATAAAGGCAAGGAATTTCACCTCTTTCGTCTTCGGTTACTTCATATGCATACTAGTGACAGCACTTATTCCAGATGACAGCAGTGAGAATATCCTAAGAAAGCATAGCACTTTCTCTAGAAATTCTTCCTTCCTGGATCTCTTAAAGTGGCTTAAAATTTCCTGTCGCTGGCTCTGGTGCACTGAGATGCACAGCCTCCTTTACTACGACCTTATCAATAAGAACAGGAATGCAAAGAGAGCCTGTCCCAGCCACACGCGGGTTCTAAGAACCTACCCATGGCCAGTCGGATCCCTATAACAGTGTAAATGAAGTTGAGTTCCCCTTGCCCATAGATAACGCACGTACTCCAGAGTTGGACAGGACGCACACACGCAACCAAACACCAAGTCAAACATCTTGGGTACGGTAAACCCACAAGCTGGCTCTAGCCATTCTACCCGTCCGTCCCCTAGAGTCGGGCATAGCCTTACCTGCCACCTTTTCATCGCCTGTCTCCCATTTCCGTCACCACTACCAGGCTACAGCGTCCTCCCGCAGAAACGAGGGAGGAAACCCACGCCGCACTGAGTGCTGCACAGGTCTGAAGAGGCGAACACCGGGTCCCGCCCCACCGCGCGTGTGCGGAAGTGTGCATAGCTCAGAGACCACATTGCCCACAAGGCCTCGGAGCGCGTTTCCGGAGAAACGTGGGAGGCTTCTTCCGCCTTGGAGGGAATCAGGGGGTTGGTATCTCTGGGGCTGGCCTGGGAGCCGCGCTCATATTTAAAAGTGTATATATTATCTTCATTAAAAAAAAAAAAAAAAAAAGAAAACAGGCATCAGAAATTTCATATCCTGAAAGGTCGAAATCTGCAGTGTCCTTAAAGAATAATTTCCTCTTGGTGTGGTTTCTTCTAGTGCTGCTCTAGTTTGGGTCATGGAGATGAAGACGATATCACAAAGAAGCCAGGGAATAATACGTAACATAGATGGAAAAGTAGGAGAGTTTGGATCTGCAAAACCAAGACAAGAAAATATTTCAAGAAAGAGGGAACAGTCCACTGTGATCCATGCTGCTGATAGGTCAAGTAAGATGGAAACTAAGAATTGACTACAGAGCAATGTTCGGGTCACTAGTGATGTTGAAACGTTCTATTTGGGCAGAGTGGTGGAAATTTAATAAACTCTGATGAGAGTTTGATCAAAGTGGAAGGAAAGAACATAAAGAAAGCAAATATAGCTGGGCTGTGTGGCGCACGCCTGCAATCCCAGCAAATGGGAAGGCTGAGGCAAGAGGATCGC